TATCATTTCTCTACCGCAATATTGCCGTCATATCTTCGTCGTATCCGGATTGACTGACATCCAGCTGTCCAAATAGTACTGAAGAGTCTCTCGATCTCCCAAGCTCTGCTAAATAAAAAATGAAAATCAAACACACATACTCAGTGTGTTTGAATCAGACAGCGATTGTATGTTTCCATGAATTCTTTGTTAAAGAGATTTGAATAGAAAGCTAAAATTCGTCAATAACTAGAAAACTTGGAAATTATTCAACGCGATTCTACAAAAAGTATATATATTGTTTTTTTCATCGAGAAATTTGGTCCAAAACAAAACAGTCTGATTGCTTCGACTGCTGTGATTGCTTAATTTATGTTTATCAAAACACATCTCAACCTACTTTACATCATTAATTTGATCTCCCAGGTAATTTTCTGTGACCACGCTTAGACTCAAGTGCATAGTCTCTTGCGACAGCTAAAGAACCATTGCTTCTTGAACTTTTTCGTGTTTGCAGCCAAGAATAGCTCATCGCTTTCGCAATGATACCTATTTATCAACAATCGTAATGATGTGACTCATAATGTTTCCAGGAGTCCCTCGAAGGAAACTATCAAGCCTGAGCAGTAAAGTGAACTAATGGGGATAGCATGCGAAAAGCACTAATTTCTATCGTTTTCTTAGAGAGCAATCATGAAGGAAGGAAAATATAATGCCTATGATTATTCGTAGTTGAATAACAATTGCTTGTAAATTTGTTTTAGACGTAATCGTTTGCAAATATTCACCTTTGAGCTTATAAATGTAATGAAGTAATTTTACAAAGGGATTTCTATTTAGATTTAAATAATAAGAAATGAAAAAGAAATGTGCTGAAGAAGACGAATTGCTCAATTTATTTGAATTGCATCCTCAACGATGTAATTTTCGTAGGACATTTGCAGCTATGCTTTGTTAAGCTCTTCTGAGACCAACAGCAATTTGACTGAATCTTGATGCTTTTAAGCTCATAAATTGCGTAGGCAGGATACGATTATCTCCTTTTAGAGATTTTTTATGCTCTTTCATATGGTAAGCTCCAATGTGTAGATACATCGCGCATAACGCTTTGAACAATTCGAAAGACGATGAGATTGAATGACCTTCTTCGGACAAATCTTTTAGATTAGTCTCCTCGATTTCTCTGTTTTTTCAATGTTGCTTGCACGAATCTGTAATTTAATGCGTGGTCAATATTAATTGTAATTTAGACAAGAAGATAAGTATTTCTCATTTCTTCAAACTGGCGCGTATGCAGTGATTTTTCCAACGCAGTTCATAGACAAAAGGTGACATGAAAAGTTAGGAGTGTGCGGCATTCGCTGCCAAAGTCACCGTGGGCGGAGCTTGCGCAGCTGGGCGGGGTAAACACAAGTTGGCGGCAATAAATCTTCTAGCAACCTTCTCATTTGACCCTTCGTAGAAATGATGTTCGTGTCAAGAATCTTTCTTGCATGACAAACTATCAATTACAAGCTTGAATACAGTAACATGAGTAAATTCAGTAAAATGAGTTCAGGCCGACATTCTTTTTTTGTAAGAAGCGCAAAATTGGATTACGGTGCACATCTTCATTTGTTCCGAGCTCGAATAACATAGGCATAGGTACCACACGATAAAGAACGAAAAGATTTTTTATTGAGACAATAGCTACGCCGACGGTTTCAGTACCGAAAATCAAGATTAGATCCGGCTTGAAGGCAGCATCCGGGCAAAAAGTCGATTTTGAGATTTTGTGCTTACCCGGGCCTATTCGCTATGCTGAATCCGAAAATCACCACTAGAGAGCGCGAAAACGGCGAAAAAGGGGTCTAACGCAGGAGGAAAATCAGCAGGGGGCGGAGCGTCCGAGAGGGTGGATTCTCGCTTCCAGCTTCCGGAGCAATCTTCTCGGTTCCCTTAGTCGCCCTAACATCGCTACCGGCCAAGTACAAACGAGTGATTTGAAATCGGAACCGAGAAGATTGCTCCGGAAGCTGGAAGCGAGAATCCACCTTCTCGGACGCTCCGCCCCCTGCTGATATTCCTCCTGCGTTAGACCCCTTTTTCGCCGTTTTCGCGCTCTCTAGCGATGATTTTCGGATTCAGCATAGCGAATAGGCCCGGGTAAGCACAAAATCTCAAAATCGACTTTTTGCCCGGGCGCTGCCTTCAAAGAGCTTTTGAATAGTTCTTTTTCTGGCTCGGCTCACCCAATCATTACCGTAACCTCCTCAGCATGGGGGGGGGGGTGATCGATGCACTAAGCACTGATCAATTCAGAGCCGTGCTTTAGCGATTGGAAGAAGAACTCGTGGAGTCTGTGGGGAGCAACACACAGAGCGAGAGTGTGCACGAGAGCGTTGTGTCGCGCGTCCGCTTTACACTCTCTTTGCCTCCCTCAACACCTAGCGCGAATCTCGCATTGTTTGAGCGGCCCCCGACCCCGCAACTGTTGCTAATCCCCCCCCCCCTTTGCACTGCTGTCCGCTTCTGCACTACCCCCGTCTACGTGTTTCTGTGCTTTTAGTCCAGCATATTGCAACATACTCCTAGAAATGATAGAGTTCTGAGTCACCCTGAGAAGAGAGAGAGGGGGGGGGGGGTCAGTACTGCTCCAGGAATGCGCATCTGTTCCTGAGCAGATTTCGTAAGCTGAGTGTGCCACCAGTAATAGCCTATGACAGGAGTTCGTCTGTTAACAACGACTCCATATAGTCTTGGCAAACTGCCAGCTCCAGAATTCTCCTGTAGCTGCTTCTCCTTTTTTACTAGGAAGTAGCTTGTACTATATGATATGTTGCTTCTCTCCAAAAATAAAATTTTCTGGTAATTGTTTAAAACATTCTATTCCAAATAACAGAATTTGCATTTATCTGCGCATAATCCAAAAAGTTTTTCACAGTCCCCACTTTTACTTCTACGATGAATCAGAGTTACTGTGGCAAATACCTGTTAAAAAATTCAAACTTTGAGAATAACAATTTTTTGTTAGAATCTCATGATTTTTATCAATTGTTACAACTTGAAAAATTTATGTACATTTTATTTTAATGTGTGTAAGTCTTTTTGCCAACCTATAGCCTGAGCGTTTTCTAACAGCATATAAGTTGGAGTTACGAGTTACCGTGAAAATTTTGAAAATCAGATTACGTATCCCAAATTTAGGAACGTGAAATCGTGACCGGTATAAGGGCTGCACTTGTTTTTATTATTTATTCAAATGTATCCTTCACTGTCGTTCCCGATACGTAGTGTTCATTGTGTCAGAGGAACTAAAGCTTTCTCGATGTTAGTAAAAACTTCTCAGTCATTTTTCAATTTACTTCCTCTTAATCCTGGAAATTTTTGAGAAGAGATCCAAAATTCAGTGCGATCTCAAGTAAAATTTCTCGAGATCAAATGAAATTCGAATTCGTATTTTCCTTATGAATTACCCCAAATGTGACCTTCTACCTATCGTTTTCTCCTCAACATAAAGCTTTGTGCGGATCTCTTATTTGTAGCTCCATTGCTCCGATTCTAAAGTGCAAGAGTCTGACTCCGCGTTGCGTCATTGCATCTGCACTTGAACACTTATTGCGATCCTAGAAGCCCCGTTCGCACACCTTTCCTCGACTTGTTCAAGCTGTCTATCTCTGTGAGTAGGAACCAAAATATAGGTTTTCCGGGATCACTCCTTTCTTACTTTCTGCATTCCATAATCTCCGTCTATGAAGAATATTTCTAAAAATTATATAATATTCTCTAATGCTACAAGTTTTGTGATAAGAATATTCTTACCCTTCATTCCTCATTTGAGCGCTCTCAGTTTCAATTTCCTCTAATTTGATATTTTCATACCAATGGCATAGCGAGGGGGGGGGGGAGGGAAGGGCTCTCCCCTCCCGAGAATGGGTCGCGAAATTCTGAAAAGTTACTTAAATGTTTATAAAAGTGTGCAAGCGACTTCTTTTTGCTTGTAAATAATTTTAAAATCTTAAAATTTTTTTAAAAATTTAAATTAACCTTGAAAAATTTTTTTTCGGAGGGGCCTGCAAAAAATTTGGGAAACATCCCAAAAAATTTTCCGGAGTGAGTGGCTAATGCCACGCACCTTCATCTAAAAGCATTTTTTGTCGCCCCCTCACCCTTCCCCCGGAAATCCTGGGTACGCCACTGGTATAAACGTTATTTTGATTTTATTTTATAGTTTTGGTCTTAAACAAGTCTAAAACAAAAATAAATACTCCAAAAGACTCACTGCCACATAAATATGGAGTGATACTACGATGATGATAAGGAATAAATGACAAAATAGTATATGCAAATAAATTGATCTACCCTTTTCAAAAAATATCATTGGAAGAGATGATGTTAGGCAAGCTACAAAATTCGCTGACAACTAGAATTTGGATGATTTTGGGAAAAGAAGATTCTATAATGACATACCTTTTTTTGCGTTATTAAAGTGATTTTTTTTGGAGTTCATGAGTATTTACTTTCAATTCTCTTTCTAGATTTACTACTTCAATTTCCTCCTCAAAATTTTCATTCTTATTATGTAAGCAGCAGCAGATATAGATTGTATGATCACTGATTTTAGTTGTTTGCTTTGCAACATAACTTCACAAAGTACAAAGTTATCACCTCAATAATTTTATCTTGTGCCAAAATTTTTTTCACAAGAACTTGATAATCTAAGGTTCTTCTAACATCTAGTTTGCGAATCATCGGATTTTATTCTTCTTGAGAACTTGAGTCTGAAGGGTTTCAAGTGCAATCATGCGTCTAAAATACTTTTGTTCTCTCGATCTTTCTCGGAACACCGTCTGGCATTTCTCAGCATCGTCACTGGTTTATGAACACTTTGGTCTATTTTTACTTTGTGACGCATGAGAAACATCCTCTTGCAATATTTTTTTTATAAATTGGTAATGTTATTAGTACACCGATTCCTTGCTGTTTTGTAAAAAAGCTCTTCGTATTAGCCAGATTACAAAATGAATTTTGAACTTATTTCGGATAATGTCTTGGGCGGATCTCGTCAACAATAACCTCGTCGGCTCTGGTAATGTCAGTAAAGCGGCCATATGCGGATTTGATGGTTCAATCTGGGGTAAAAGCGATAATTTCAAGGTAAGAATTGCATTTTATGAGCTATTTCCTTTCTATGCATTTTTATTGCCAATCTTTTTCAATCGGGAAAAGCTTACGAGGCAAAATAGTGGGGGAAATATGTGTGGAGTAGAAATTTCGCCATTGGCAGATAGCTTGGTTTATGTCTTACAAATTAGAACTTTTCAAGCAATCCGCCAGATGAGTAAATACTTTCAGTTGAGCTGTAAATTGAAAGTACAGGTTTACAGTCCCCAGAAGACAAGCTTTGATATTTGTACTGAAATTTCTTATAAAAGTGCCTTTCCGGCTCGCCCCATTCAATAGCTTTTGCTAGAAAAATCGGAACCTGCCTAGCGGTGTGCACTGTCTGCAAACCGTCAAACACACTGAGTTTGACGGAAAATAATGATTCTAGAGCAAATAAAAGACGAGATGTGGAGTTTACCGAACCACACCACATCTTGCAATCCCCTTCATCAAAGGGATTACAAACGTGCATAATGGATTAAACTAAAGCTGGTCATTGTTAGGGTGATTAGAAAAGCTGAGAAGTTTAGGATTAGTTAGGGATATATCACTTGATGGCCAACTGTGAAATAATAAAAAAAAACGAATTGTTCGCGATTGGCTTGTACCAAGCATTTCCAAAACTTTTATAACTAGTATGGTTTCGTGATAACTTCTATTTTCTGGAGTGTGAAATACGCCCACTTCTCATATCGGAAGACATCACATTACTCAATGTCTTGAATGAATACAGTTTTTCATGGTCAGCTGAATATTTATTTCTGTGAAATTTTCCATTTTAGCTGTTGTCATTTGTTTTTCGAGCTTTAACTTTGTTGGATTGATGTGTTACAATTTTTTGAATTTGCGTACGCCTAGGCGAAGAATCGAATTTTTGCAGGCGTTACGGTAGATGCTTCAATATTGTGAGATAATACGACCAAAGTCAAAATGCTGTTCTTTCATAAAATCGCATGTATTATTCTAACATAATAAGTCGCAGTTAAAAGCTTATATAAATCATCCCAACTTCTAAATATTTACATACTAGCTGGCTTACCCGGCTCCGCCGTATCCGGACCAAACTTGGCACACATACACTTCGGGCCCCGGCGGGTGTCACAGTCCACTTTTCGTTATCGATCGATGTCGATTTTACCGATTTTTATCGATTTTTTTGCAGAGTTCACCTACAGGGCTAGGAGTTGGCACAGGGGGGTAATCGAGCATGGGGATTTCGAATACAATATTAGTTTTTGGAATTATCGATTACTTTTATTGATTTTATCGATTTTTCGTAAATTTTGACATGCGAGGCTGGGATTTTGCACAGGGGGGTAATCGAGCATGCTGATTACGAACACAATATTAGTTTTCAAGATCGTCCATTACTTTTATCGATTTTATCGATTTTTTGAAAATTTGAGCTAGGGGGCTGGAATTTGGCACAGGGTTGTAATCGAGGATGCTGATCACCCCCCTTGGGGATGATCAGCATGCTCGATTACCCCCCTGTGCCAACTCCCAGCCCCCTAGCTCAAACTTTGCAAAAAATCGATAAAATCGATAAAAGTAATCGATAATCCCGAGAACCAATACTGTATTCGGAATCCCCATGCTCGATTACCCCCCTGTGCGAACTCCCAGCCCCGTAGCTCAAACTTTGCAAAAAAATCGATAAAATCGATAAAAGTAATCGATAATCCTGAATACCAATTTTGTATTCGGAATCCCCATGCTCGATTACCCCCCTATGCCAACTCCCAGCCCCGTAGGTGAACTCAGCAAAAAAATCAATAAAAATCGATAAAATCGATATCGATCGATGACGAAAAGTAGCCTATGACACCCGCCGAGGCCCGAAGTGTATGTGTGCGAAGTTTGGTCCGGATCGGTTCAGAAATGGAATTTTCTATTCGGAACATACGTACACACAGACATACAGACATACAGACAGACATACAGACATACATACAAACAGACATTCAGCTTTATATATAAGATTGGTCTTTCACAACTTTAGATAGATTTACTTTGCAGATTACGCAAGAAGAGGCAGCAGCTGCTGGACGGGGTTTCGCCAACAAAGACGGTTTGTTGGGCACCGGATTGAAGTTCGAAGGCGAAAAGTGAGTGCCTCACTGAGAAATTGACCACAGAAGCTTTTTTTTCGTTACGATATAAAGTGCGGTTCATAATTATACGAACACCCAAAATTTTGTAAGTTTTCGGACTTTTTGGGAGAAACTCAAAAAGCCGTTGGTACCACGCGATAGAACACAGCCGAAAACGGTATATGATTCATAAGAATGGAAATCGATATCAATTGTAGGAGTGTTTTTGCGCCTAATGCGAATTTTTAGCGGTTCATAATTATACGAACACCTCAAACAAAGGTCCATTTTTCATTCAAGATTGCAATCGTTTGAGTCCAAATTTTTTGAAGAGTGACAGTAACAAAGTCTGACATATCTGCTGTATACTAAACCCAGTGCAGTTCGAAAAGGGGACCGTTACTTTTTTCAAAAGGCTCTAAATGCTTCTGGAGTGATTGCGCTCCAAAAACTTCCGTTCTTCTGCGGTTTACGCGCTCTAGTTAGCTTCTACCAAAGCTATGAGATGAAATAAGTTCTTTCGATGGGTATTTTGTCTGACGCTTAGAAAATCTTTGCGTTTTCGTGCCGTTTTTCAACCAAGTTCCAACCTTACCACAAAGATAGCACGATTTCGAGCCCCAAAACTCAGCTTCTGAAGCCGTACAATGAGTAAGCATATAGCATGTAGAAGTTTACAAGACTTTATATTTGCCTAGAAAAAATCAGCAGCGTTGAGCGTTTGTTTTGGTCACGCAGAAGTTATTTCACCAGAAATACTGTTTTTACTACTGCAATCTCACCTTTATTTGGTTTGTAGTTCCACAGCCGCAAGATCAGTTCTAGAAAAAACCTAAAAACTTTGGTACAGAAACATCATCATGTAAACAATGCAGCTGCTTCATATCAAATGTTTGTGCGAGAGAGAAGCTGAGTTTTGAGGCTCGAAATCGGGCTAACTCTGTGGTAAGGTTGGAACTTGGTTGAAAAACGACACGAAAACGCAAAGATTTTCTAAGCGTCAAACAAGATACCCATTGAAAAAGCTTATTTTATCTCATAGCTTTGGTAGAAGATAATTAGAGCGCGTAAACTGCAGAAGAACGGATGTTTTTGGAGCGCAATCACTCCAGAAGCATTTAGAGCCTTCTAAAAAAAGTAAGGTCCTCTTTTTGAACTGCACTGGGTTCAGTGTGTAGCGGACACGTCAGACTTTGTTACTGTAGCTTTACAAAAAATTTGGACTCAAATGACTGCAATTTTGAATAATAAATGGATCTTTGTTTGAGGTGTTCGTATAATTATGAACCGCTAAAAATTCGCATTAGCCGCAAAAAAACTCCTACAGTTGACATCGATTTCCATTACTATGGATCATATACCGTTTTCGGCTGTGTTCTATCGCGTGGTACCAACGGCTTTTTGAGTTTCTCCCAAAAAGTCCAAAAACTTACAAAAATTTGGGTGTTCGTATAATTATGAACCGCACTTTATAAGCATACTTTACAAGACATCTTAACAAAACATAATTGTTATGCTTGCATGAAGCTGCAATTTTTCTATTGCAACTTTTATTTTCCTTTTCCCCGTTTGTATTAGGTTGGTGCAAAAATAATGCGGTCTTGCAAAGTTTTACTTTGAGAAGCTTTAAGCTTGGCAAACCTCCATGCTTTGAATGCAATTATTTCCATCAGATGCGTGAAGCCTTGCCTAGTAGCGTATTTGCTGGTGTTAAAAACATAAACGAGCAGAAAGCCGGTTGCTCACAAAAATAAAAACATTTTATCAGATTATCATGTTTGAAAAATCATTATTCACTTCAAGGTTCGTCGGTTCGAGTATGTCGGTGTCGGACCTTTCTTGTAGCGGCAAGCGAATTTTATAAGCAGGAATGGAAAGGGCTTGGGAGAAGAAAATCAAAAAGAAACATGCAAATCATCAGCTTTTTGAGAATTTCTTTTGTAGGCTTGGAAGCCCCGAGTTTTCAAATTTTTCCACTTTCTATGCACTGAACAGCTACGTTTTTTGTAGAAGGTGTCAGCAAGATGTCCTACTCTAACGCCCAAATGAATCAATGGAGCTTTTGACTATGGTCGCAACATCAATTCATGTGCAAAAAAAGATTTATTTGCACAGTTTGACAAATATGAAGAATTTTACCACGTATAATGTCTATCTTTTCAAAAGTTCGCATTCATTCAAGCTGTCCTAGGCTAAAAAATCAAAAACACCGAAGTCTTGGTTTTGAATAGGGCTTTTCGAGGTTTCGCTAAATTTCCAAGAGTAAATCTAGAAGCCTCTTATCTATTCTTAGAATGAGCATGACAGGAGCTTTCGAAGAGTTTCGAGAAGAGAATATCGATGTGAATTGTAAGGAAAAGGGCCCAAAAACGCTTCAGGCACCAATCTTATGAAAGTTGTAAGAATTAATGAGTTGACTTTATATTATTATTTATATGATATATTTACATTATTATTTGTATTTTATAATTTATTATTATTATTGATATTTTAGCCGGGAAAGATGATCGGCATTGATAGTAGACGTGTTACATTTCAAAATGATTTGCAGATATTTCGTCTTGAACGCCGATGATGACCGAGTAATCGGAAAGAAAGGCTCACAAGGATTTTTCATATATAAAACGGGACAAGGTACGCCATAAAAAAACTGCTTGAGCAAAATAACACAATTCATTGTTTCAGCTGTTATAATATCAATCTACGAAGGTGGCGTCCAGCCAGAAGCATGTAGCAAAACCACCGGAGCATTAGCCGACTATTTCAAAAGCATTAATTATTGAGAAAACGGTGAGAGCAATACGGTGAGTATGGAGGTTTTAAATGCTGGATTGGCGAGAACTGGTCCTTAGGTCCTTGGCTATGTATCCGTCAACAATGTACAACTCACTCACAGAGGTTTTATGAACATCGATAATTTTGTAGGGCTTAATAGATGGGGACCAGTTCTCGCTGTTATCTTTGTATAAAGCTTTTATCACCAAACATTATTTTTAGGTACCACATCATGTTACGTTTCTGCTTACTTGCCGCATTACAAGACGGTTTTGAAGCAACCAAATGACAATTATTCTAAGTGTTTCATACCATGCCAAACCATCAGAGGACAAGGTCTTGTATTAAGTCTTTTGCATAATTTACATTTACGCACTTAACATTGAAGATACTCTAGTCTATGTTTTCTGTTTCATTTTTCGTTGTGACTGAATAAATTTACTTCGTATTCACTTCCTGGACTGGATTATAGCGTTTTTGCTCACAAGAGTTAAAGGTACTTTCTTGTGCTCTCCGCATCTTCCGACCGATATCTTAATCATGTACACTAATTCCCAAACGGTTTTCGAACTAAATTTCGCGTAATTTCGGCCACCTTGCCCTACTAGCTTTGATATACGTAGTGACTATCATGGTTATGCAGCTGCAAACTCTTCAGGTTAGCCCGTTAGAAAGGGGCGTGGCTAAGACAAGATAGGGCCATACCCTTGAAAAATTGTTCACAAACTCATTTAGATGCTCGGAAAGTTCCAAGATATATTTAAATTGATTGCAAATAGGAGCAGGTTACTTGCACCTTTTGTAACCCATGCAAACTGCTTCAAGTATTCGCAACACTGCCACAGTTCGTTCCCCTCCCCCGCCTCCCCGCCCCTTCCCCCTCCTTTCCGCCACTGTACTTAGGGCCGCATGCACTAACCTCCTCGTTGGGGAGGGGATCGCAGCTCAAAAGAAAGCTTTATATTTCGAAACTCCAAATACCTGGATTTCCCGTTGTGTACCTATCCGTAAGTATTCCTACTACCCTTCACTGTAAACATATTCTGCACGAACCGCACTTTCCAGTTTTGTATGATCCCTGATGATCCCCGGCGCTTTTCTTTAAAGTCATTTTTCTTTCTCCGAAGTTAGCGAAAACCTTCCAGAGTTGTACTGAACATCTAACACAACAGTGCTAAGCATGTTGCTGATGAGAACAAATGAGTTCTGAAAAGTCGAATTTTTCGGTAAACCTCAAATTTCGACCTGTGGATCATCGAAAATTTCATGACTTCAAAACATCATTTGTTCTTATCAGCAACATGCTTAGCACTGTTGGGTTAGATAATCCGCACAACTTTGGAAGGTTTTCGTTAACTTCGGAGAAAGAAAAATGATTTTAAAGAAAAGCGCCGGGGATCATCAGGGATCATACTAAAGTTGGAAAATGCGGTTCGTACAGCTTCTCGCTCCTCTTCAACATGTTCATAGTGAAGGGTAGTAGGAATACTTACGGATAGGTACACAACGTGAAATCCAGGTATCTGGAGTTTCGAAATATAAAGCTTTCTTTCAAGCTGCGATCCCCTCCCCGCGGTGATGTTAGTGCATGCGGCCCTTAGAATAATACAGCACTTCTTTCAAATTGAAAGAGTTTCTGGAAAGTCTCTGGAAAACTAACACCACTTGTGAGCAAGTGCTTTGCTCTTGAAAACTGGAACTAAACTATGAGGTTGTTTCGTAAGTTCGTAGAGTTTTCATTTTAGTAGCTCTAAATTGTACCAAACGCAAAACATCTACAACATCTACAAAGAGACTACTTTTACATGCACCATAGTCACGTAAACCGTTGTCTTTCATCACTTATAACAACATCAAATATAAAATCCCCACTTATGATTTCGTTATGAAACAAAAGTTGCAGGTGCCGACGCCAATTTTTGCCTCTCAAAATAATTTATTTTGAAAAGTCTCAAAAAGGGGGATTTAGCTCTGCTCCGGAAACGAACAATTGTTCTTATAGAGCAGGATTGGCTCTTTTGAATAGTACAGATACTTTGCCGCTAACCAATCGCTTCATCAAAGATGGGTACTAAGATAAAAAAGCTACGTATCTATGAAACGACCTATGGTTTAAAAAATCACAATACTCAACACAAATTGATTCTTTTTCAGCCCAACCCTAACAAGGGAAGAATACTTGGTCAAAATGAAGTCATATCAAATGTATATTGCATTATAACGAATGGAACGCTGATTCGAAATCTCCTTTCGGTGTCTGCAAAGTTCTGGGAGGGGAGTTATGAGAATTTTCAGAAGGCAGAAATTAAGGGTTTGGCCAAGGTAAAAATAGGTGTTGAGCTCTTCTCTGCGCTTGAGGAGGGTAATAACTAGCATAAGTATATTAGATTGAAGTTAATAGCTGCATAAAGCGCCATGGCAGTACTTATGATCAGGGCCCGGCACCGATGGTTTGGGGTCAAACTGGACTTCGTTTTTGGAGTTAGAAGCATCGGGAACATCGTTTTTATGAGGTCCTGGAGGAAGCGCCAAAAAAAAACACGACGAACATGTCATTTCACGAGTTGAACGTGTTCTTACGCAAGCGCGCGAATTTTAAATGCAAGACTCAAACAAACAAATGGCTTGTTTACAGCGCACAAACAATCACATGGCTCCGAATTTGGGCTATGAGTATACAATATTACTCCAAACTATGTTATGTAAAAAGTTCCCAGAACTTATGTGTCTGAATACCCGTTCCGGATTTGTTGGTTTCTAAACCAACCACCGAACCAACTGGGTTGGTTCGGAGCATAAATTTCGGAGAGTTCACATAAGTTTTGGAACTTTTTGATTTGGACGATTAAAACGCTCAAAAATCTATTATATAGTGAAGAGAGCGAATCAAATTATTGCCTCTCCTCTTTTTTTGAGCCAAAAGTAGTGCAAATCTATACGCGTTGATAGATATTACGCTCCAATCACACGCGGTGTCCTTTGAACCATGTGGCGAAAAATGCACTGCCAGATTGTTGAGGTCACAGATTTGGTTGGCCTAGGAGATTCTCGACATTCTGAGCGCTAAAATGGTACACTACCCAATGACAGAGCCTTTAATCAACTAGAAATGCTTTCTTTTTGCTTTTTTTTTGTTGTATTAGTTACCTCAAAATGCGCTTTTTTTCGCTTTTTTAATGCTATTTTGACTAATCCCTACTGATTTTTACGTCAAGAGGGACTTCGTAAATTTTCGCGAAGTCATGGGGGACTTCGTTTCCAGAAACGCTTCAAACCAACGCATGCCGGGCCCTGCTTATGATGCTTACGATCCCTGTTGAGTACCAGAGCGGATGCAGAGAAGCTTTCATCCGAGAGAGCAAACCACAAGACTGAAAAGTGTACGACTGTCACGGCTTTATAGCTAACTTAATCAAATAAACAAATACGATATCGTATCATGTCATTTAGCACATCATTCCTCAACAATTCCCATTTAAGCTCACAAGCTACGTTTCTGAATGATTTTATTATAGCTGCATGTTCAAGTTTTTGCTTCAAAAAGTTACCATAACATCTTTCTCGAGGCGCTTCGCAGGTACCGTAAGCAAATTTGCAAACAGTGTTCTATTTTTTCGAAGCCAGTATACAGTGCATATGGGAACGCCACTTTGACCAAGTATCTTTTCTTTGTGAGATGCGAGTTACTGATGAATTCACGACATCTGTGATGCATATGGTTTTGCATCGTGCACTTATTTCAAGCGGAGATGAGGCAATATTACAAATGGAGTTTATGTCGACGAACGAAAAAATAAAATACAATATATGTAAAAGGGCATAATCCACCGATCTAGTTCTCAAACTTCTACGCCGAACAACCGGTACTACGAGGCTGTGCACAAAGACCACACGTTTGTCGACAATTCTCTGCCATGAAGTTGGCATTCGAAGTGCATTGCCCAGCATTTCTGAAGGTGGCACAGAGAGGGTGACGATCAGTGCAGGCTAAAATGAATATTCAGATCAATTATGGTCAACAAACAGAAATGGGCAAATTTCCAAAAACGATAATACTCTTAGATTTTGGTGCAAAATGCATTTTTGGAAGCAGCAGAATGCACAAGATGACATATAACTAAGCATTTCTCTAGCAACTCGTAATTCTCAATTTCTCGGCCTAATAACGACAACTGCTTCTTTCGGTGAAGTCAGAAAAGTGGTGAAGGTTTGATAATTTTGAGAAACGTTAGATGGTGTATAGGCTGTAGGAGCGAACATTCGCATAGTGTCTCTGCGGTAAGGACTGTATTTGCGCGGGACAAATGCCATGCCTGTGAATGTCGACAATTTGCTTGCGAATTGCCGAAATGGCCATAGAGTACTTATCGATATTGTGTTATGCGCAAATACTGTCGACAATGCAAGAACACTATGTATGAAATTCGCCAGTTCACTATACATAAAGTAGAGTTTACTTCACTCTTTCATTTCATTGACTGCGTGCGCTCCTATCGTTATCACGTTTCTGCTAGTTAATGCGCACTCCATCTTCCTTTTTCTGACTCATCCCCCCTCGTCTCTTCATTCTTTCCCTCAGGATGACCCGGAAAGTCCGTAAAGACATTAATATTCGCGTCAGCCATTAATGGAAGATCAGTGGGTTAATAAGAACTAAATGAAACTCTTCCTTATTTCAAAATCCAATCATTGTAAAACATGTATAAAAAATATCATTTCGAATGAAGCTTTTGACTCGTTGAGTTATGAGCGTGTATTATTGTGTTTCCCAACTCCTTCAATCACTATGCTTACAAAAGAGTTGACGGTCAATATAGTGCACCTGCGGTGGAGACATCATGTGCGCGAAAATGCCGCGCTTATAAATGCCAACATGTTTGCGATCTGGCATAAAAATGGTAATAGTGCGCATATTGCCTCTGTCTACGCGGAAATGTTGTCGGCAACACGAATGCTACACTTATCGCCAGATTTACTAGACCATATGAGTCGCATATAACATAGCGAAGATTCTCTTTTTTAGGTGATCTAAATTTTCAACCTAATGTTTATCTCTTAGGTAGTAAAGGCTAAGAAAGTAACTTACTGTCTTGAATAGTGTAGGTTGTTGGTCTGCAGACTTCACAACTAGCAGGGCAAACAAGCCGCATTCGTGCAGCATCACGCTGGCAACCTCCTTGCGATGCCCAAGTGGCGCAGCACGGATTTTGATTGTAGCAGGTCTATAACGTGGGCTTCGAACAACTTGAAATACTTTTTGGCTTTTGAACTAACCTCCTCCACTTCAACGGGCTGCTCCGGACCACTGAGTGGAGGAGTCCCTTGAGTAGGAACTTCATCTCCACCAAATGCTCCACCTGCTCCGCCTGCTCCACCATCTGATGGAGCTGCACCTGATGCTCTCTGAAAAAAATTTCTTACTTAAAAAGGCACCGTAGAAGACAAACTCACTGGAGGTGCTTGACATCTACCATTCACGCAAGCGCCATAGCAAGGATCGACACCTAGAAAATAATGGCTCAGATAACCCTAGCTAGAATACACAAAGAACGGATGTCACCTCTGTAGCGAGATAGGCTGCAAGCAAAACCTTCACGGATTCTTGACACACAAGTGAAGGTATTGGTATCACAGAACAAGAACCTAAATTAGAGACATCACCTTCGACTTAACCATAAATACAACTGAGCTTGTGATAACCGGATACAAAGAGCCATGTTGAAACTGATCTGACAAATTTGCAAAACTATCAAACAAACTATTTGACTGTAGTAAAACAGCCACTTTTGCAGTAGGTCTAAGATATGATTTAACCAAGCGTATGCCCATCCGACGTTATCTTTGAGAACTTATATTATTTAGTAGAAACCCAAAATCAGTGGTCGGCAAACGGTTCGCGAACAGCAAAAGTTTGGTGCGCGTAGGCTTTGCCATCACCGCCTCGACCGAACGCCTATGTATAATACTACAGGAATTCCCACTAAAGAATTTCATTGTCTAAATCCGTCGGTTTCGCTATTCAATTGCACATAAGTAGGTGTCCTCAAATTGCGGAAGCGGGACTCTTCACCCCTCCCTCACTCCCTCCTGCCTCAAATGGCTCCGAATTTTCAAAGAGCGGAGTTTGAAGCAACTTAGCAACTTACAACAGCAACTTAACTTAGCAAGTCATGCGACTTGTTTATAGCCTGTTTATTTCCCAAATGATGCAACTAGTGCTATATTTTAGGCTTGGTTGTCACCATCCTCTTTTGCCAAATCTTGGATCACAAATCAAATAGAAACAAATCAAATAGAGTAATAAAAACTATTCAGTGAGTAGTTGACATTAACCCCTTCCTGAAAGTTTTATCGCATCTCACTTCTCAACCTCCCCTTTCGTTCCACCCAAAGATATTTTTTCTGCCCGCCATTATTAGAGTGATAACGACATAGTACTCCAAAATAGATAGGAAGGACAACAAGTATTTTTTATACCTAACTCGCATTGATTCGCTTAGAAAAACCTGTAAAGTAGTTATCTCACAATTTCGCAGAACGACAGCTCTATGAGATGTGCTGAAATGGTAGAAGGCTGTCAGAAAGAATTTGCAAAATCGATGATTTGCTTGATGAAACTAACCTTTGATTCAACTGGCTTGGCAGCTGGAAGGTGGGTGACTTAATTAAGACCGCTCGCGCCCGCGACGCCGCTTGCGTCTCTCTCGCGCGCGTGCTCTCTGATCATTACCTAGCCTCAATTAGGTCATGAAGTCCCGCCTCCCAACTGCCAAGCCAGTTGAATCAAAGGGTACCTTGATCCGCAATCGCGTCTTGCGCTCGAACATGTTGGTCTGGGGTCGTATTGGTAGAGGTTATCTACAAAGAACATTCATTTACAAGATAAAACTGCGGAAGTTGCTCGACACTCACCTGTGTAACTGTTCGAGCAGCCATCTATATTTACGATAGGAGCGAAAGGCACCATGATAGATCTGGCAAAATGCGACTGACTACTGCATCGAATATCATCGGTAGGGTAAGCGGTTTCGCGTTGTGACCTCGACTGTATTATCATACTTGGATAATTCAAAAAAAAGATCATCAGTTGTTCTACCTGTCTGGACAATCTCCATTGCTCCCAGATGTTGTCAATCATAGCGTGATGCAAGAAGAAGATTGGATCATTGGTGGCTCGTGTCGTAACATACATATCACCTTAGAATTTTCGTCATTTTACAAGCGTTTGTTTGGAAGCGGTGAAAAATCTAAGTAACCCAAATTTTCTGATTCTGAATTCATTGACAGTTCTCAATTATTGCTCAAGCAGTAGCTCTTATGAGACGTCCGTGAAAGAGATATTAAGAAGTGCAGACTACATTTTCTGCCCAGTCAATGCGCTTGAGTACGGTTGGTGGTACGGTACGGGTTTGAGTACATTAATAATTTTAACCCACAAACGATTTATATGAACTGCTTTTGAGCAGAAACTCAATCAAAATTTCCTAATCAGTGATCATACAGTCGAGTAGATTTAGCGGTAAATATAGTGTGCTTGCACAGAAGGTGAAATGCGGTGAAATTTGCGCGTGAACAAGTAGCCACGCCTACTGCGGGTACCTTGCGCGCGCAATTGGCCGGCGTCACAGTCGAAGCTATTCCTTCACGTGCAAATTTTACCGCATTTCACCTTTTGTGCAAGCACACTATATTTACCGCTAAATCTACTCGACTGTACAAGAAAGGAGAGGGAAGAACACCGCTTTCTTGTGCCACCTCCGCAGACAACTGCTTCTTTCGTAATGCTGTAGCGTCGTTTGAGGATCAGTAGTCCGTGGAGGCGGCCCAGAATGGCGTTGTTCGTTTCCCTACCCATATCAGTAGCTCTGGTCAATCAGGCGAATTTGCCTGGCTGCTCTGAAGAAAGAGGTCAGAAACTAAGGGCCGCATGCACTAACATCCCCGCGGGGAGGGGATCGCAGCCTAAAAGAAAGCCTCATATCCTGAAGCCCCAGATATCTGGATTTACGTTGTGTACGTAACCGTAAGTATTCCTTATCCTTCACTATGAACATACTGAACAGGAGCGAGAAGCTGTACAAGCCGCAGTTTCCAGCATTTCTATGATCCCTGACGATCCCCGGCGCTTTTCTTTGAAGTCATTTTTCTTTCTCCAAAGTTAACGAAAAGTTTCCAAAGCTGTGCAGATTATCTAACCCAACACTGCTTAGCATTTTGGTGATAAGAACAAGTGATGTATCGGAGCCATGAAATTTGCGATGAACCACAATTCGAAAGTTGTGGTTTACCGAAAAATTCGATTTTTCAAAAACTCATTTGTTCTCATCAGTAACATGCTTAGCCTGTTGTGTTAGATAATTAGTACAACTTTGGAAGGTTTTTGTTAACTTCAAAGACGGGGATCATCAGAAATCATACAAGAGCTGGAAAATGGGGCTTGTACAGTCGAGTAGATTTAGCGGTAAATATAGTGTGTTTGCACAGAAGGTGAAATGTGAAATTTACGCGTGAACAAGTAGCCACGTCAGTACCGCGGGTATCTTGCGCGCGCAATTGGCCGGCGTCACAGTCGAAACTATTTCTTCACGCACCAATTTTACCGCATTTCACCTTCTGTGCAAGCACACTATATTTACCGATAAATCTACTCGACTGTACAGCTTCTCGCTCCTGTTCAATATGTTTATAGTGAAGGGTAGTAGACATACTTGCGGACAGGTAGACAGCGTGAAATCTAGATATCTGGAGCTTCAGAATATGAAGCTTTCTTCTGAGCTGCGATTCCCCCACCAGCGGGGATGTTAGTGCATGCGGCCCCAAGTGTCAAACTTTTTGCACACCTCCAATCCAAATATGGTTGGCACCGTGAACAAATTCGATTGCCGATCTTGGTGGAATATTGTTTCTTGGACATTGTGGCTAAAAGAGAAGGAAAATTTTTGCGCGCTGTCGTTTTCTTTGACTTCTTCCAAAAACTGACCGTAGCAGCTGAGAACGCCAACGCGTAGACGATACTATTTATCTCGGCGTTTATAGCAGTGAGACTGGACTGGGGTGTTGGTCTGGAATTGCGAGAAACTCCGAACTCACGAATGGTGACGCGATTCTGAAACCAACGTTATTCAATTGGTGGGATGGCGAGATGTGGCAAACATAGATCGTACTGCCCTTCCTCTTTCTTTTAGAATGGATCCCGCAAACTTCCTGGGTTTTACATGCGTTAAGAAACTGTGCAGGTGACTTATTTTCATTTATCTCTACATATATGAAGCAGAAAATCTGTGTTTGTGTGTTTGTGCACATTTCCTATAGTCACAGGATGAGCGGTGAAGCTCATTTTGATCTGCTGGTCATCAAGATATGATAAGGACGGTAGGAAGCAAAACTCGAAACCAAATGAAGGGTTAAATTTGCCACATAAGAGATCAGGCACGATGGACTGGCCCCAGAACGGGATGGAACCCGGGATGCCAGCTCGTAAATATATAAATTCCAAAACGTACAAACCCAAATATGCTGAAAAATTTCAGCGACGTGGCTATACCAGTTCCCAGGATCAGGGTTAAAATCCAGCCAGAAACTTGAAAGCATTTTAGAAACTTTCAAGCCGACTCCAATTTGTTGAAATAGTTTCTATCTCCCCCCCCCTCCTCCCCATTCTACGTGGATTTTGGATTTTTCAGCTATAGATACTGATTTGTTCAAAATTTATAAAAATAGAAGTCAAAAGAAAACTTTGGAAAGCGTGGTTTGTATCCCCACCAGAATTTTAGGGTCAGAAACCCAAGTTGGGAACATCCGAAAACTTTATCGACCCTCCCTCTCATCTACGAAAAATTTGTCAGTCCCCCTCCCTCTGCCCACCCTACCCAAAACACTAGGATGCCACTGCTCTAGATCAAGGAGTTTATCGAAAAACTCACTCGATAATAACTAATTTTTAAATAGTGACTTACCAGGAATCCAACCCAACCTGCAAACAAGCCGGTGCTTAGATTACCAGTTCTACTTGATGTTCCCGTCGAACCCATCAACTCTTCTCCCCACATGATAGAAGCTGAAACGGCATCGCTCATGGGGACCGTGACCAAAACGAAAAAGGAAAAATATACAGAAAGGGTCGTCCAGAGCCGCGTCGAGTGTGGAGTCCCAATAGGGCAATGCGACTGTTGGGTCGTATTGCCTCAGAGCAAATTCCATCCTAAATTATAAGCTCATTATTCAGCTAAAAAAGCTGTGTAGCGTGATATGTACCTCTTGATAAATTCACGATGCCATGGTAAGAATCCTGGTCCAGCATGTGCTCCCGGTGAAGTGCTATAGCTCGAGTGAATTACACCCAAGTCCCTATAAGCTCCCTGACGAATACCCCACATGGCCCGTTGGAACCTGCAACAACCGCATATTAATTTTAAAAAAATTGTTTAGTGTAATCTTGAAACGCTTTTGAAGAGATGAGATGAGTAAGTTGCCTATTTGGCACTTTAGACTTTGCTCTCATCGACAGTTTTCTTTGCGGCTACTGTATGATTATGGTATATCCGCGCACATTTTTGCTTCAAGTTTACCAAGTGCCATACACAAATATACTTATTCGAACATAATGTTGCAAAATAAAAACTCTCTATTGTCTCGCGACATCATGGGCTTGAGATGTCACACTTCTTGGAAGTCTCGAAAACTGACTCAAATGAAATTTATTTGAAACCAGAGAGGAATGCAAAGTGAAGAAGAGCTCAGGTAGTTCCTATAGCTTTTCATGCATCCCTTGTTCTGATTCTGATATTTCTCACTAACCCGTAAAAAAGGAGCTGCTTTTGTTGCCAAAAGAATAAGATTTCTTTGAATTAGAGTCAATGGGCAAGCTCCCTTCCCCTTAGTTCATAGGTAGCTCCCATCCATTTCAAATATAGCTTATAGCCTTTAAAAGAAAAGGAGGCTCTTTACCTTGCACGTTCAGTATCGGTCATCAGCCGAAGCTCCTTTCGTATTGCTTTACCGTATACTTGACCATTGCGTAGAGTGCAGCGATTGTTCGAGAAAGTACCTAAATGCATTTGTCTATGAAATCAAAACTCTATTATGTTCTGCAGAGAAAAATAAATACCACCAAATTTGCTGATCCCGCTGAAGTTTCTAGGAAAATTTTTATTCCTAACTAGACAGATTAAAGTCGACTGAAAAAGGGTCACCTCCTATTAAGACTTCTAGCAGCAAGACATTCATAGAAAGCTGTTTTGCGCACGAGAACGTGTTGCAATCCTTTAACAGAAAAGTATATGGCTAAGATATTAGGATAACTATTCTGTCTGGGTTTCCTTCGTAAAAGCATTGGGAATTTACTGCTTATGAGTTTGAATCATTGGAGAATCAGCGAATTTAGATCTCTTGAATGGACAGAATATGCATAGAATTTTAGTCTTAAAGTGGCGTCAGAACTTTTGCAGGAAATGATCACGTTGATAAGTAATAATGAATTCACAAGTGCGTACTATGGCATTACCAATGATGAGAGGTGATTTTTCTTTGTATTAAAATCTCGAAATATATTTTTTTTCTGGCTTCCACGCTCCAAACAGTTTAAATTTGACAAGTCTAAAAAACTCACAACAACGTTACTTACCTCTGGCAAATTGACAAATACATTGAATATCCAAGCACTGATTTCGGTCAGTTGGGGTCGTAGTGATATCAGCCGCTTGAAGGGACCCTGCGAATGGACTGGATGCAGCAAATCCTGGCGGTGACAATAATACGGCTGGTTGATCCTAGGCAAATCATTCACGATGCGACAATGAGACTGTAAAATATTTCTCACCCTAGATTTCTCGTCCCACCAAAGGATTTGGTCACAAAATTGTGGAGGATTACTGAGCAAACAGGTCTCGTGTGCTGGGTTACCAGGTCGTGCAAAACCAGCTCCATCTCGTGCATCTATAGCAGCTGCTATAGCTGGAGCTGACTGAGGAGCTGAAGCTAGAGGGGCAGCTTCTGACCCTGCAGCCAGTAGAGGGTTGGTGGATGGAGTCGTTGGCGGTCCTCCACCGGAACCCCCTGAGGAAGGTTCCCCGGTAGTGACACCACTCGGAAGAATAGGCTCATCCTGATATCCAGCAATGGAGACGCCTATAAGCGCTGCAAGTATAAAAAGCCCTTTCATGGCGGCCAGGTAGCAGTATCAATGAAGGAAGTTGCGGTAGCAGTTGAACCTTTCCAAGATAGATGCCACAGTCTTACATTACAACTTCTATAGGTATGGCAAGGCCGCATATCGATGTTTGCTAAGAATTTTCAGTTTCCAGTAAGTTCGCGCTAGATTACCAGTTTTATACGATATCAAACGTTTTGAGAAGTGGTTACCCTGTTTGCAAGTAAACAGGCCAACACCTGCTTGCTAAAAGTGACAAACCTTGGGATTGAGTTCTCTTGAATAAAATGGGTTACTTTTTCTGCTTGTACGCAATGACAATTAGCGTAACTAATTGTGCGAGTGACATTCAAATGTCACTCGCACAATTATTGTCACTTCATGTTAATTTTGGCGATGCTTGCCAGCCATCTGAAGAAATGAACTAGCTTCGGAAAGAAATGGGATTACAATTTCGTTTTTTTTTGCTTACAATTAGTCACTGCATAGGTAACTCGTTCACTCATTTTGAAGCCTATGGGGTTTTATGGGGTTTTTGGGGCCTTTTCGCACACAATTAAAAAATCTTGGTCTTGATGCAAAGACTTTTTTGTAATTTTCTCTTAAACAAGTCATCTTTTGTCATAATACTGACTTAGTCTCATTTACTATGAGTCAAAGATTTTCTGAAAATAAGATAAAAGCAGCTCACCCAGTGCCATATTGTTGGGGATAAAAAGCAAAGGATGTCGTTCTTGCAGGTTACTGGAAAAGTGCCAGAAAATACTAAGGGTTGACCGAACTATTTTGATTTTAATCGTATTAAGAATTTCATTCGAGGACTGGCGAACTCTGACCATCATCAAACACTCCTTCTTTCAAACACAAGTTCTTTTCTTCGAGCTGTAACAGAAGTCATTTATTTCTTCCCATACTTTCAACTGAGGCCTCTTTCTCACCTCTACTTGTTCATTTGTGCAAAGCTACCGGTGCTCATCATTACCTTACCAATCTAATTTAGTCTCTCCGAAAGCAACTTTTGACCTCCAGTATACTCTCATCAATCAAAAATTGCCCAAGTTACATGAGTGTTTACATGGTGTAAATATGAGCAATGAAAAGTCGGAGTAATGTATGAACAGTTAAGAAGAACTTAGCAGGGGCTTCAAGTTGGATGGTATAAAATTTATTGGTAAATAAAATTTATGTGATCAGGCCAGAAAATCTTGTCAGGATAGGAAAATTTATGGTATTTATCTCTCTCACATAATCCGACCAGATCGATTTATCGAGCAAAGTTCATCTACATCTTTCTATATACTGGCTTCCCAATTCTTAGAACCTCCCCTAGCCTTAGCCACCAAGGTAGGCGTGAGGTCAGACACACGTCCTTTGAAAGACCCACTCTGCTGGCACATTTACCTGAACCATCCCTCCTTCCTTTTCCATAAATCCCAGTCTCCACAAATCCCAATTTCAATCTAGTGTGCACTGTGAATGGAATTAATGAGAATTTGCGATTTTTTGTAGACTATACATGTATTTTTCCGCGATTGTTAAACCGTACAACAGCATAACTCTTGATGAGTTCTTTTTTTCGAGAGTCATAACTTCCTCGGAAAAGAAGGTTTGGAAACAAATGTTGTAGTCCACTCTCCAATACGACATCCTCAGGTCGGGCAGCTTGACCCCAAGTTTAGTCAAGTCAAAGGCAGCGTCCAGGCAGATTCTCGACTTCTATATTTTTATGTTAGCCAGGCCTTTCCATGGCGCTGATTCCGAATATGGAACTCAAAAAGCGTGAATTTCTCAGAAAACCACCTTTTGGGGCTATTTTGGGAAAACCCGGACGAGTGCTTCTGATGTTATCCTTGTCGAAAGCAAGTATTAACAGGTAAACGCTGTAAGTTCGACTGTGTTGGTTATGTGAAAACACGTCGGCTTAGGAGATTTCGTCCATAAGGGGTTGGCCGTCCGAGGGAAGTGGGCGTGGTCGTCGAGCTCGGATCTGCCTGGACGCTGCCTTCAAGTAGGTCAGGCGCAAGGCTACAATGGCTCAATTAGCCGATCTTTTGAGGGATAGTGCGTGGTTCCATTGACTATGTCTTCGAAGGAACTTCTCACCTGGTTTTATGTCGTCCTTCACAAACCTCTTAGATTTCACATTAACTGTGAGAGCTTATCCGACTCGTTTCGGTCTTTTGGAACGCAGATAGTGAAATTTCTCAATGTGAAAAATTCGGTGGTTAAAAAACCAAAAGCATTTCGATATCATCTGAAAACGATATGAAGTGAAATTCCGAGCATAGATCAACATAAGTTGTTACTCTGTTTGTGATGATATAACAAACTGACTTTTTTCGCGTTAAAGCCAAGTCAACCCAGAGAGACTAGGAAATATGGATGTTGCAGGTAGTGTGTTTCAGAGCTCATAGGGAACGGCCATAGGTTGTCGGTGTTGTCGGTGTTGTCGATGTTGTCGGTGTTGTCGGGGTTGTCGGGGTCAGAGACGGTTTAGAGAGCGCGCGAAACGTGGAGTCTATCATGAGGTCCTACAATGACCGACAATCTCGGCAACCCCGACAACACCGACAACCCCGACAACACCGACAACACGGACAACCTATGGCCGTTCCCACAGATGTGATTTGACATGCGGAATTAAAAGCGCACCCGTTTCACGTATTGTCCTCTTTGATATATAGCTTACGGTAGGTGGCCAAGGATTGTGTTAAAACTTGTAGTTATTAGGCATGCTGCTACCGTTTCCAATCTTTGCAGTAGTCAGTGAACTTATGATTTTGGTGAAGGTCTGAGTTCACCGATCCAGCGCTTCCTGTTCTCTACGTTGCCCAATACTAAGTATTTCCTCATTTTCAAACAATAGTGACTACCTACAAGAAAAAGACGTAGTCATTCAACGCTTTGCAAGTTATAATATCACTATTCTTGCAGCTTTACTTGCATAAAACAACTGCTCAGTGAGTTTGAGGGGGAAATCGACTGGCGAGCTACAAGTCAGATGGCCTCCGACTCATTGGCATTATTTATCGTTCGATTATCTTCCACATCTTTGTATAGCTTTGAAAAATCAAGAAAACTAGAACTTCCATTTTTTTACGTTTCAAACAGACATTCAGATTGAACTCATCTACAAGTGTTCCAGCTCTGACCAACAGTTTTCATACGGCATTTAGTGGTCTCTGATTTGCTGAAAATATGTTATCTTTATTTTATTGGCTCATGTTATTTGAGTGCACTTCCTCGTTGTATACTATATATCGTAAATGAAGTAAACACAGTAGTCGAGCTTTGAGGCGTTGTGCCGATATAAGCATATGGCAGACAACTTTCGTGGTTTTGATTGGCACTAGCTGGAGACTGGTCGCAAGAGAATTCCGGGGGACAGCGCCTATCTCTGGCATTTCCGGGGCACGCTCTTAACCACTGGAGCTGCCACGTGGGACGGGGCGGTGTCTGTTCGCAGTGACGTCACACAAGCCGAAACACGTACTTTCGGGGCACGTGCCGCGAGCTGCTAGAAATTTGTGAACTTACTGGGGATTTCTAGGCGTACAGCATCTCCGGGACACTTGTACGTAGCCTATTCGTTGCGCTGATACTCAGCTTATGCACTTTCGAAAATAGGCTGCTCTCTTTTTCGACCCGCTGTTCTCCAGTGCTGCTCATCGGCGTTTTTGGTGTGTTTATGTTGTTTTAAAGTGCTTCTTTTTAAGTTTCAGGTTTAATGTTTTCGTGCAGTGCACTTTCAAACCATCACTTTTGGTATTCGGCTGGCCATCTATTGCAGAAAAACCTTCGAATGCATGTCTATTGGCTGTCCATTTTAGATAGAGGAATTTTCGAGTGTGTATCGCCTCGTAAAAGCTCAGCTGTTCTTTCCATTAGTCAGTATCATCATTTGGGGAGTTTAATCTGTGGAATATGCCTGAACTTACCCTAAAATCTTACAAGTTTGCTTCTTGACTAGATAAGGCCCTTCAGATAAGTCCGCCCTACAGATAAGTCCGTTTCTTCCGTTATAACTACGAAGGTCAGATAAGTTCGAAGAGTGTCAGATGAATTCGGACTTACCTGTAGACGGACTAATCTAATGGAAGGCCTTATCTATAAGATTCTAGGGTAATCTGTGGAGTTCCCAAATGATCCGAAATTGCTTCAAAACGAGTTTGAGGGGAAAAGGCTTGGACTAATAGAAGGAGGTTAATGAGATCTTAAGAATGTGTATGAGGTTTTTAAAAAATTCTCAATTTGTTCGATCAATAGGATCAGTAGAAGACAAAATAAGGTTTTCGAGCCAAAAAGAGAGTTTGGATGTTTTGCGACGAAAGAGAAAATTTTAGGGCAAACTATATATTGGTATATTGGCTTATAGGGCTGAAAAAGCTCTATCAGCAAGTATAGAGCTTGGCCCATAATTTTTCTTTTTTCCAGGTTTCGTCGTCGCTTGCATGGATTTAGCGTCGGCTTGCGCCATGTAGGTGCAGCCGCACCAACTACGGTGTAGCTGCACGGCGTCAGCGAAAATTACGAGAAAGGCCATGGAAGGCCGCTTTTTACATTTTTTTTAAATGTTATTGTTTTTGTTGTGCCATTTCGAGTGGCGTGATCCGCTCGGAGACGGGCTTGACCCCTGCCCTAGTTGTTTTCCGGCGCGGCCTCGATAGATCGAGGCTCCGAGGCCCATAAAGGGCTTTTATGTCCGAAGAGGGATTTGCTGGACTTGTATCGTCATTGATGTGTTCGCAGTCCTCGAATATAAACTTAAAAGTTCTATTTCATGACTGCAGCATATCCACAGTTTCGAGAAGGGAAGGAAATCGAGGATTTTCTCATGTTTAAGGTGTTCCAATGCATACTCAAATTGGTCGTAGTTGTGTGTGTGTTTGTGTGTATGTGTGTTTTCTAGGCGACATAGGGTGTCCCAAAAAAATGTATCGAACGTTTGATATTCAATAACTTCCCTATATGGAAAGCTTTCGCGGATGTTTGAGTGTCAAACGGTAGAGCTGGGCTCAACTTAGATTACAGCATAGAGCAAATCACCAACTCTTCTTGGTTACTGTAGGACTACAGTAGGAATTTTCGACTAATCTTAAGTTTCTGACAGCCGGGAACTGCTTTTAAAAAATTCAAAAAAAAACCGAAGGACGATAAACTGAGGTTTACGGGGATGCTAAATCTAATTACAAAGTTTTCCGCTTCCGTACCCCTCGTCTTCCTACCGTATGCGCACTGTAATGCCTAATTTTTTTTCCAAAACTACTAAATCAACGTTGCAGTTACAAACACGTCGTCAAAAGCCAAAAATCAAGCATTACAATGCGCATACCGTAGGAAGATGAGGGGCACGAAAGCGGAAAACTTTGTAATTAGATTCAGCGTTCCCGAAAACTCACTTTATCGTCCTTCGGTTTTTGAATATTTTAAAGCAGTTCTCGCCTATCAGAAGCTTAAAATTAGTCGAAAATTCCTACTGTAATCCTACAGTAACCAAGAAGAGTCGGTGATTCGCTCTATGCTGTAAATCTAAGTTGAGCCCAGCTCTAACGTATGACACTCAAAGATCCGCGAAAGCTTTCCATATAGGGAAGTTATTGAAGACCAAACGTTCGATACATTTTTTGGGACACCCTGTATCAATTTCCCGTTTTAAGAGCGGGCAATCATTTTGTATTGAAAATGATCGCCCGGCCGGAAAGGAGAGCCCGACCCGTGATGTATGAAACTCGCATGCGCCTAACTCGGACGGACAGCAGCATTCCACCTCATGAGGTCGGGTTCTGCACGTACTTTGTCAACGGATGCGCTTCATTCTCTTTGCGCTCAGCATTTTTTTTGTTTTTAAAAGACGAATACGAGGTAAAAAATCTTATTTGCTTTTATGGAAAAGCCGAGGAAAATTAGACAATGTTAGAAAAAGCGGCTTGTGATAATCTTAGAGAATAAAGTCGAAGGCGACAGCGCCGAAACGTAGGCCATTGTACAGTAATAAACTGTGTACCATCTTGGTCAACCGCTCAAACCACACCTCCATCAAGTGACAAGCCATGCCAAAGTTCAAAGATAGCCGAACATGGGCAATACTGCAAAGATAACTTCTTAAAACTTACTTTATTGCCAATGTTCTATCAACAGCGACTTGAACCGCTCTAGTTGTTTTTTTGTCCTTTACGCCACGACAGCCCACAAGAAGCAGAGGCCCATCTTTCGCAAACCTTATACCGGCGCCATGCTATGCTGCTAAGAGTACGCTAATGACTGGATCACAGATTCAGGCAAAGAAGCACACGTGGCAGCTCATATGCGTGGCATTTACAGCGAGAGAATTGAAGAGAATTATTACAACACGAAGGTTCAACAAGTTCATAAACGTGATACTATAGACTGCGCAAAGTCCCGCATAACAATCATTCTCGTCAGCAACAAAGTATACATGCTGTAGATGTGGGCTGCAATTCATGTGCGGAGCTGTCAACTTTTTGGTAGAGCATGAGAACTAGCAGCGATTTACTAAAGATCCATGAATGCATTATCTAGAGGTAGGTGCATTTGAGAACATTTACTTTGATAACAAAACTTATGAAGAAAAGCGCAATAAGTCTCATGTGTCACAACAGTGCAAACAGTTCATGCTTAGATGATGTTCAAATCTAGAAACTTTTAATACATAAAAATTCTTCTTAAGTTGAAAAAGAGAGTAGAAAAATGCGCGCATTGAGTTCATGCTGAAAAAATGGAAGAAACGAGTGAACGGCGCACTGAGGACGCCAGCCGGCGTACTTAACATGCGTTAGCACGCATCCTGTTGATCTCAAACTAGACAGACCTGGCTCTTGCCCGAGTAACATTCCAAAATAATGCATCGCGGATGCGGACATTCGTGCACGTTCGAGTAACAACCCAGCAGTGAACTTCTACCCGAGCGGGAGATTGATACATACCGCCCCTGGCCTTACAGAGTTTTGTTTGGGCGGGGTCGTCAGTGAAGGGGCAGGGTTTTCAAGAGAATGGGCGAAGTTGGAGATGGGGTCTGACGTAGTGGTGGTGCGATTATTCAACCTATCGGCCAACTCGGCAGTTTTTCTCATGCATTTCGTGCATGAAAACGGCACTAGAAGGGACGGGCGGGCGGAGTTGTCGAAGTGGCTGGCCATTAACATCTCCATCATCGACACTTCATCGGGCTTCATCGGGTCGTTTTCGTCTCGCCTTTAGATGGTCTCCTTGACGGCGGCCGTCAAGCGCTGCAAGGACCCTTTTACACTGCCTGCTATCTGAATACCTCTCCGTCCAAAAATCTCGGTTAAAGTACTCAGCTGTTCAAAAAAAAACAGTTGGCATAGTTACTTTCTGTGATTGTTGTTCTATACTATGAATAAATAGTAATTTTAGTAGTATTCTGTCTTCTCAAGAAAACTGTTTTTTGAGTGGGGATTCAGTGTCTAGAGCTAATTTGGGTGGGGTTTAGGGGCAAAATTGGGGTTCAGAGCTCAGTTAGGACTAGCTACAACACGATAAGTTCTCGGGGTCTTTGGTAGACAAAGTTCGGTGAATTCCGGTGAACGAGTTCCGTACCGCCAATGGGGAGACCCCGGCCGGTACCGAATCGGTCCCCGGATGAATCCTGTTCGTTGTAGGAGTGTTTTGGAGAATTATAACACGGCAAGGAGTAAGATTATTGTCTTTTTTACACCAGATAGATATGCCAAGTTTCCGCGAATTGCATTATTCACCTAAAGGAACTTCTTGACGAGGCAAGTATGCTGAGTTATCCAGATTCCTTTTTCCCGTGCAAAAATGTCTCTTCTTTACACGGGCGAACTTTCAAAAAACAGCGCGAGTTCTACACTTGACTATATCGCTGTGATAATCCTCCTGAAGGATTTTTTTGTGTTGAATCCGAAAAGTGAAGTATGAATGCACGATTAACATGATGTTTGATTAGTGAAATCCTTAACATAAAAATCTTAAAAGTCATTTTTAACAAGTATAATCAAAGTTGCAATGAAACATAATCTGCACGCATATAGTTTTCTCACATAAATGTACGAGACTTATGGTTGGCACGGATGGCCTATCAAAGTCAAAGCAAGCTCAAATTGACGGTTGATTGGTTTAGTCATAGTAGTAGTCATCAGTTGGATACGACCTCCTTGGAACTGGAATATTTCTTGGGGCTGGACTGACACCGTTCGGGTGTTTTGCAGGTGTGTTGAAATCATCTGCGTACGATCTTGGAGCTGCGTTGTAATCATTTGGGTACGATCCTTGAGCTGTGTTGAAATCATTTGGGTGCGATCTTGGATCTGTGTTGAAATCATCTGGGTATGATCTTGCTGGAGTTGTGTTATAATCATTTGTGTTCGATCTCGGAGCTGCGTTGACATCATTTTGGTTCGATCTTCCACGCTTGGATGGTCCTTCTGAAGTGGTGAGTGGTGGAGGAGCACGCAGCCACTGGAGCGCGTTGAATAACCAAATTAGACATAAGAACGCAGAAAAGAACTGAAAAAATCTGTTTTGCATTCAATCTCAATCTTAGAACACACTTATTTTGGTCTTTTGGTCCTACTTTGGTTCGTGTACATGTGTGAATTGTGTTATGTAAACTGGAATTTTGTCATTGCTTATATGCCATCTTGCAGAGCTTGCTTTGCTCTATCGAATAATATGCTAATTCGAATTTTTTAAAATCTATCCTGCCGCGGTAGCATAAGAAAGTAGTGCCTTAATTATGAGCCAACCTTATAATCCTATACATCTCATCTTTTATCGTAGCTAGGTTACGTCTATAGCAACAAAATCTCACCACTTACCTCTCCACACATCAACCAAAAGTTGTAATGATTGCACATATTCACAAGGAAATAGAAGAAGTTTATGAGTTCAAAAAGTGTAAATGCACCACTGTACCCCATTTCCTGAAAAGTTGGAATCTGTAGCCATTAATCCAACCTTAGCACATTCCAAGCTTCACAAACTTTTAGTTTCCGATTTACCTAGATCTTTTGAAAAAGACAGTAAGAGCCATTTTACAAAAGTAAATTTTCCTAACAGTTTATTCAGTGGTTGAATGTTCACGATGTACGAAACCTATGGTAAGATATAACGCAAGAAAGTTTTGTATTTCAAACTCTGATTACGTTCCTTGTAATTTTGCAATCCCTCTATTTTACCAAAAAATCCATTTGAAAGTACGTACCGCCATTGGCCAAAACGGCGCTTCTGTCAGAACTGTGATATTAGCAAAAATAAGCAAAAAGGTCAGTATGCAAGCTATCAGCTGAAAGTAGAATTTTATTAACGATTGATTTACGAAGGTAGCTTTACCTGGATCATAGTGGTTGTGATGACAAACCACCCGAATCCTCGGTAACCTGGCGCGAATACGAATATAACTTGGAATAATATAAGTACCTAGAAAGGCTTTTCTAAAACAGGTTAGTCAGGGGTTTTAGGTAGTTTGTGTATTTGAGAGAAACTTTGCAGTTTTACAAAGCTTACTAACCAGTGCGACTGGCTTTACCAGATGTGGCAATCCTTTCATGTCGGCCAACGTCATGGTTAATCTGCGAATAACTGATAACAAAAGAAATCCTGACTGAAAACTTGGGAGATAATTACAGAACAAGAAGATTAAGATAAAATTTGAAGTCAATCATGGAGGACAGTTTGCAAGACTAAGCGACTTGCGTACGATAATCTGTTGTACAGCGAGTTCTTGCAGCAAATCTTTTGAAGGAGCCGAAGTGGTTTCGGTGATAAAGTGTGTCCAAAAAGTATGCACACAATATTAAATGTCAATACATCTCTTCTCGCAAAATCAAACTTTCACCTAACACTCTGTAAATCTGCCCTCAACAAAAATTAACAGTATGGAGCGAAACCTTGCTCTTCATTACTAATACTGCAGTAACGTTCAGCACCCGGTTCCATTGTAAATTAAGCCGTTTAAAAAATTCCTGAAATAATTTAAGAAAGGTTTTAAGGCGATTCTGCACATAAGTAATTTCACTACAGCTTTCACGAGTCTCTACAGTTTTTTTTGATGATATGTTCACATTATGAGGTGCAAAGATTTTTGAATGGTCTAATCTCATGTTTCAGGAGACTGGAAAAACAACAATTACCTTATACCTAACATTCTCATAAAAGAAGCAATACGATGAAGTGCGTGTATTTGATGTCAACTACTCTGTGTAGTATAGAGGTATTAAGTCCGTTTTTCTTTCTTTTCTGAGGAGTGTGGCCTCTGAAAGCTCAACTTTAAGCCATACTGTAAGTTTGAAATCAGGTCTACAGAGTGGTACCTGGATTTCGCAAAAAACTCTCTAAAAAGAGAGATTTTAACTATCAAACAGCATGTGCACTTTCGGGACAGCCAGTATATGCTTTGCAGACTCGCGCTGATTCTACTATATTTATCTCTCAACGTCGCTTATGGTGGCTTTATCAAATTGAATTTCATGACAAGCAGATCATAAGTTTCCAAAATGTGCACGCCATATGATTGCTGACATCTCTCTTTGGATTTCTTTTAAAGCTCTAGAGCATTCATTCTCATTCTAGTAAATCTGGCTTCACTTCAATCGATTACTGCCGTTTCGGACCAAAGTCTTTTTTGCTTTGTCAAACTTACGACCCACCCGTGGGTCGTATGTCCGAAATGGTAGTCTTTTTGGAAGAGATTTAAATTATGTCCAAGGGTTATCGAAGGCGCTGATTATCAAGAATGATTTATTTCAGTTTTTGGCGTTATACGGTAAGGTTACGGTAGTCATTCTGTACGAACCCAACATCATAGATTTTCATGAAAAGTTATGTTTTGGGTCATTTCAAGTGCTGATCACGATTATAGCGTTTGTTCACTACTTTCCCGCAGTGGGAATACGGTAGCAGTACGGTAGAATTTTCGTAAGAATCAAGAAACTGATGTAAGAAGGCTGTAGTAGAACTTGAGACTATCATTTTCGTAATCAGCATGCTAAAAAATCTATATATGTAAGGTTTGAGCTTCCTGGGATAAACAATGCGAAAAATCATTAAAATCGATAAAATCGATAATTTTTGATAGGCTGACATCAGTCTCGTGCCCTCCCTGTAATTCTCGTGCATGTAAACTTGAATTTTCAAAAATCGCACCACTCTGCGAAAAATTTGAGCTAAAGTCTATGCCCCCTCTATCTACGATATAACTACCGTACCATTACATTACGTTATCCCAAACCCGGACCACTCTGGCATAAGCTTCGCCAAGGTATCCTCCCCAATCATGTGCCAGAACCCCGTAGAATTCCATCTTATACTGGCAAAGCTAGAGCTTCAGGAATCTTACGACTCACCGACGGATCGTTTTGTCGTGAATGTGTTAAAAGTACAATAGGGAGCGAAGAAGCAATGGCTCTTTGCTAATGTAGGAGTACGGTAGAGGCATCAGCATATAGCATGAAAAAAGAATTTGAAAAAAAAACCCTGAGAAATTTGAAGCAGAGTTTGCAACATGCTGATTATGCAATTGAACTTTCTATTAGTTTTCGAATGTTTTAATGGCTGATTCACATTCTTGGGAAACATCGAAAAGCAAAGCTAAATGTTCTTTTGTTTTGGAATCTGGGCATGGTAAGATATGTTAGTAGATATTTGTGTGCAGCAATGATATTTTGTGGTGGAGACCTGAATGACCCGACGTCGACATCAGCGTCATCGGCAGGTTTGCAAGAAGATTGCAGTTTTGACTTGCTTACCATACCTTCGAGCGCCTCTTCCCACTCTGTTAGTTTAGACCTAGTCTGAAACTTGCAGTATAAACCCTCAGAGCTAGGAAGCAACCATCTTAAAGGCACCCTCCACCTAATGTGGGGTCGATGCGATTCTGATGCATTACATTAACGAGGCCTCCATTTATATTCCTGCTCACTTGCGCTGCCAAAATTTGATTTCGAAGCGAGAAAATTGCTTCAAAAATCGCTTCCCATGACGGATTCGCCACATTGGCTCCTCCTTTTTGAGTGGGCGTGACGTTGTTCCGTTCATCCCTGCGTGTCTAGTCACCGTTGCGGCGAACTCGCCCCGCGAGTTCTGCGGAACAAGGATTGTCGAGGTTTTTGCGACTTCTCGGCTTGATATTCGAAATCACCGACTTGAAAGGTCTTGGCACAACAAAAACATGGGAGTGGAGGATTTGGGTGGACGGTGCCTTCAACAACACCAGCTAGCAACAAGCCCGCACAATTGAAGGTATGGACGCCATTGAGTATCATTGAGTGGGTAGAGGAACGAACGCCTCAATTAGGCATCGCCTCCGCGGACTGCTGGTCCTTTCGTCCTACTGTTGTGCATCGTGTTGGGACCAGTGGTCCGCGGAGGCGGTGCCTAATTGAGGTGTTCGTTCCTCCACCCTCATTGAGTATGTCAGAGTCTTTCACAGTCCAGTGAATTTTCCTCTCATCCAAGTATATATGCATGCGGTGCCAACAAAATGCGGCAAAATTTGCGCGTGAGCATATAGCCACGCCAGTGATGCGCGCGATTCGCGAATTGCCCATAATGGCGAATGCGCGCAATTGGCGCGCGGAAGTACTCAGACACTCGCGGTTGACTCGCGCAGGGGATCCGCCCACAAAATGGACGTTCGCGGCAAAATCCGGTGGACCGGCGCGAGTCATCATTTTAGTTTCGTCCGGATTTTGGTGTGATTTTGTCGCGACGGGCGAGGAGGTTTCGAAATAACGCACCTATACGTCGACGTATTGATCAATTCTTCCCTGCATTTGTTGCATTTGTTTTTTTTCTTAGATGAATCTATACTTAGCAAAGCATGTCTTTCCAGAGACGTTCCATGCCGATAAAAACCAGGCTTAGACCAAAGAGAATCAGCTTGAGACGCTCATTTCGAACGCGTCCTTCTGATCACACGGCCATTATCTGCGTTGATCATCATCCGGAAGTAAAGGGGAACCCTTTTTCTCTCTTTCTAGAAGTTATATTTCATTCTTAGATTGTTTTGCTTGCTTACTTTAGCTGATTACTGGACTTTGAGTATTTATGCTAACGTGTACTATTTTGGTTTTCAAGCGCTTTTACGAAAACGAATGGGATGACGATTTTGCGTTGCGATCCCCGAAGCCAAGAAGGGAGCGCCGACCTAAGCATAATCCTGTTCTTGAGGAGGTCGGAAGAGTTTCCGCATTATGATTACCATGATTCACCTATGATATAAGCTCATTCCAGGATTTTATAGAAGAGGAAGAAGAGAATGTTAATGACAATGATGAAAGCCGCGAGAATGTCGATTCACAAGTGGATAGTGATCTTCCGGCCGTGCAAGAGCTGAATGAGAAGGCATGTTTTTATTTATGAAACTGAGAAAGTAATGTTCTTCTTTTGCGGTTGCTCATTTCTTAAAATGGTATGAGCTTACAAGACAGTCATTTTCGAAATTTTGGAGGTTATGCGATTTTTGAACTGCGGTTGCTTGTAATGCTTTTTCTGAACTTTTTAAAGCAGATTTTTCATCACATGAAGAATGTCATCTACGGTTCAACTCTGTGCAAAAACTGGCATCAATATTGCCGGTTCCAGTTCCATATTATTTAGAGTACACAATTCCAGTTCAAAATTTACCTGGCATAGCTCACATTTATCGTACCGCATCTCACGAGTTTAGAAAAATCACTCATTTGACTCTCGCCTTTTTTTTTCAGTGATTTGTACTCAATTCGGAAGATGAAAGAGTTTATGCACATTGTTCATCCCGCACGTCATCATTTCTGACAGTTGGCTTAGCCGGAATTCAACAAGTCAACGAGGAAAAATTATTGGTTTCAGGAGTTCAATATAGTTGAAGTCATGGAAAAGTGGCAGAGACCAAAACGCGCGCACAAGCATGATCATTTCCTTTTGGTGCTCGACTTTTTGCGCCACTTCTTTCTAAATGTAAGCGACAGATAGATGAAGATGATAAGGTCGTCTTGTAATCATCGTTTAGGCCTGCGAACCACCTACGGAAATTCAACAGTACGCCTGTAGACAAAGCGGGAAGAAGGAGAAATTTGACCATCTTAAGGACCTCCCGGAAGGATTAGTCGATTTCTTAATAAGTGGGTCAACGTGTGTTTGAGTACATTACTTTCAATAACTGATTTAGGTTTTATCCTTGACGCCCTTGGCTTACACCGCGACCAACTTCTGCGGACGCCAGATGAGCATAAACGGAATCCAAATAAGTATGTATGTTCTCGAAAGACCTTCATGTGCACTAGAATTTAGGTGGTGGTTGGACTTAGCCGAAAATGACGACGCTTGCGAAAAATTATTCGACGTCCTCTCAGAGGAAAGAGTAGTATGGAGCGGTAAGGCGAGGATAGCAAATGGGAGAGCTTTGTGAGTTTTCTCATAAGGAAAGCGATACTTCTGAACTATATTTTTGCAGGGAAGACATCGGGAGGTATCATTTTGACCCTGATAGGTCCATGCTACATCAAAGGTAATTCGTTTGTTTTATACGATCCTGGTAACAATGATTTTTTATTTTCAGAAAAAGCGCGTTATGGTTGAAGGCAGCAGTGTTACCAAAGAAGGCGTAACGATCCAGAAGACTGAAAACGTTGAAGATGAAGATGAAGTAGTCGTAAAAAATTAATGCTGTTGTCATTCTTAACCGTAGTTCTTTCGTAACCTTGTGTCGTGATTGTGGTGCTTTGATTCCTGTCTCATTTCGATGTTATTGTAAACGCTACTCGAGAAGATCATGTGGTATTTGCTAATAAATTTTATGACGTAAGACTGGGTTTATCAGCAGAAAAAAAACAAGCGTGGGAAACGGGACCCAACGTGACCAAGGACTCAAGGTAAGTCAAAAGGAAGGCGTGAGAGAGGGCTTAGAGGACGCAAAAAGCTGTCAGTAAGGGCGTAGGCCGCGTGCTCTGAACGCGATCGCGACATTTTGGTGTCTCGCGCAGGTCTCCCCATTTTGCCCCGATTTTGCCGCGCACTTTTGCCGCGACACAAAATCAGGTGTCCTGATTTTGCCGCGACACCGATTTCGCGAGTCGCCCACGCATTCAATGGCTACACATCGTTTTGCCCTGCGCGAGTCAACCGCGAGTGTCTGAGTAGCCGGCATTGCAGGCGTAGTTATTTATTCACGCGCAGATTTTACAGCATATTCTCGGCACCGCAAGTTTAGATTACTGAGCGGTAAATCCACTTGATTGCATTGCAACGCTAAACCCATACAATGGTATGAATCCCGGTCACCACTGGAACAAGCATTCGTTTATGACACTCCGTCATGAATTTCCAAAAGAAATCATGCGGCTTAAAATATTTTGCTTTGCAATGTGCTTCATTCTTATGTCGTTCGACAGCGCTGATGTCCTTGTCCAGCTTCTTTATGAGTCGAGCTAGCGCCAGCTGTGCTTTATGAGTGAAACTGAGGATCCGTGATTGCGCGTATGCCACGGTGTTCTCATTTCGAGGGCTGCTGTGTGATCATGGTAACTCAATCAGAAATGGGTGAATGCTTTGACTTGCTACACTAGCAGTCCCATTACACAAACTCACCTCAAGAAACCTTACAGAACGATGGCACCCTTGCCTTTACATTTAATCCCGCGATGGTTCTTCTTGTGAAATGGTATCGCAAAGGAAGCTTCATGGACATTTAGGTCATGTCAGATCGGCTTTCACCCGCAGAGGTGAAATGATATTGCTACAATATGATGAGAAGCGCTTCGACGGTCTGCATCATGAACGCCTGCAGCACACTCGCGCAACAATGGGTATGCATCAGAATGACATCAGCTTAAACACATAGCGTCTCGAAAATCAAATCCGAACTCATTGCGATAGGATACCTCTGCATGCCGTTCAGTTCGGCGAAATTAGCAGTGCAATCAAACAATGCGTTCATAGAGCAAACAGCAAGCTTTTAAATACTCCAAATATTATAGTAATCGCTAATAAGCACTTCTTATCATGATATGACAATTTTATTTCATTTTTTATCTTTGCGAATGAACCGACCGTACAGACTGATGTTCTTACAGCTTCATTTGCGACAGCATTTTACATCAAAAACCATCGCGGAACTGAGAATGAGTGTTAAGGTAAGAAAGCCATTTGTTTTGTAGGTTTTTCAGGGTAAGCTTGATGTAATGGGACCGCCGGCTTGACAAGCCAGAGTTCAATCATTCCGGATTGAATTTACGGGATTACACAGCGATCATTGAGATGACAGCACATTGTGTCATACGCGCAAGCGCTGGCTCCTCAGTTTTACTCATAAAGCATGCCGCAGGGTTTGGCGCTATGTTGGCCCATTGCAAGTCCTCGTACGTGCGAAAATTATCTTCCAAACCATGCTAAGATCTCAACAGCATCTGAAGATTAAGAAGCAAGACAAGGGACATTAACAGCGCACAAGATTGAGCCAAAT